TCAGGATCTTGTTTTTAACAAGTTACAAAAACAAAAAGGTTTAAGGAACTTGGAAAGGCTGTTCTGCTGGAAGACACTCCCGTTTCTGTTTCTCTTGTCTATAATTGTGGTAGGCAGAATTCAAAGATGCACCCCATCTGGTGTACATGCCCTCTATAATCACCTCCCCTTGAGTGAATATGGTGGGATAGCATTCCCATGGACATGTTACATGTTATGGAAAAGGCAATTTTGCAGATATAGTTAAGGTCACTGGTCAGTTGACTTTGAGTTAATCAAAAGGGAAATCATCCTGGGTGGGCCTGACTTAATCAGGTGGTCCCTCTAGAAGAAGGTGAAGTGCCAGAGAGAGGCTATACTGCTGGCCTCACAGGAGAAGTGAACTGGCCTGTTGAGAGAGGGCTGATGAGCCAGCAAGGGGCTCTGAGAGCAGCCTCCAGCCAATAGCCAGCCAGAAAATGGGTATTTCAGCCCTACAACCACAAGGAACAGGATTCTGCCCACAGCTGATGAGGTTAGGAGAGAATCCTGAGCCTCAGATGACACAGCAGCAATGACCAACACTGCGATTTCACCTGGTGAGACATGGGGGGAGGACCTTGCTAACCTGTCCCCAGACTCCTGAACCACAAAAACTGTACAATAATAAATGTGTGTTGTTTTAAACCAGTAAATTTATGCTAATTTGTTATGCAGCAATAAAAACGAATACACAGCCTTTCCAATTAATGAACTCATTTTTTAAATTTTATTTTGCAAAGATATCTTTATTGTGTAGTGATGTTTATATGTGCAAAGATCTTAAGCACACAACTAAGTACACACACACAAGTGTATGTGCCCGTCACCCAGATCAAGATGGAATATTTCCAGCACCCAGAAGAGTTTTCTCACGTCCCTTTGCAGTCAGTGTCTGCACTTCCTTCCCCAGGTAACAGATTAGTTTTGCTCATGCTTGAATATCACATGTATGAAACCAGCAGAATACAGACTCTTTTATGTCTGGCTTCTTTTCATGTAAGTGTCAATGAAATCCGTCCATTTGTTGCTTGTAGCAGTAAGCTTATCTTAGTCTGTTCTGGCTGCTGTAACAAAGTACCGCAGACTGGTTGGTTTATAAACAACAGAAATTTATTTCTCACAGTCCTGGAGGCTGGAAGTCTGAGATCAGGGTGCCTGTGTAGCCAGGTTCTGGTGAGGGCCCTCTTTCAGGTTGCGGACTGCCAACTTCTCTCTATGTCCTCATGTGGTGGAAGGGGCAAGGGAGCTTTCTTGGACCTCTTTCAAAGGGCACTAATCCCATTCATGACCATCACATTGGGTGTTAGGATTCCAAAATGGGAATTTTGGAGGGGACACAAAAATTCAGACCATACAATTATCATTATTGTAACTATTCCATATATGACTATATGAGATTTTATTTATCCAGTATAGGGGCTGGCCCCATAGTGAGGGGTTAAGTTTACCCACTCCACTTCAGTGGCCCTGGGCTTCGCCGGTTTGGATCGTGGGCAGACCTAGCCCCCGCTCGTCAAGCCATGCTGAGGCGGTGTCCCACACAGCAGAGCAGAAGGACCCACAGCTAGAATACACAACTATGTACTGTGGACTTTGAGGAGAAGAAGAAACATAAAAAAGAAGATCAGCAACAGATGTTAGCTCAGGCGCCAATCTTAAAAAAAAAAGTTTTATTTATCCAGTATAAAGATGGTGGAAATTTGGACTTTTTCCAGATCTGAGTTACAAGTAAAGCTGCTAGAAACATTTCTGCACATAAGTCTTGTCATGGCTGCACTTGTATGGATGAAATCGCTCTGTCCCAGGGTGGGATGTACTTTCAGTAAGTCTAAGATTTGGCACTCCTAACATAAACTCTTATATAAACCCTTGTATAAACATGAGTGTTGAGGGTGCAAATGACAGGGAGAGAGGCAGTTTGAGACGCATTCTTCAGTAGATTCTAAGCTCTGACACACAGATAAATGGGTGGTTCTTTCAGGCATCAGGAAGGCCAGGTCGAAGATTGTTGTTTTTGCAAGACTGTCCTTGATTATCTAGGTCTTTTGTTTTTACCTTAAAATCTTTTCATTCTCTTAACAGAGTCTTTCACAGAAGAGAAGTTTTCAATTGTGCTGAGGTCCAATTTATCCATTTTTCCTTTTTGGCATCAAGTCTAAGAACTCTTCACCCAGCTCTAGGAACTAAAAAGTTCTCCTATTTTTTCTACAAGTTTTATAGTTTTAATTTTACATTTAAGTCTGTGATCTCTTTTGAATTAACTTTTGTATAAACTGGGAGATTTTGGTTGAGGTTCATTCTTTTGTCTATGGATGCTCCAGCAACAACTGTTGAAAAGGCTATCCTTTCAATTCAGAGGAACTGAATTGCTATTGCACCCTTGTCAAAAATTAATTGGGGAGAAAATATTTGAAAACCACATATTCAACAAAAGACTTGTAGCTGGAGCATATAAAGAACTACAGAAATTCAACATTTAAAAAATCCTCAATACTAACAGCATAAAGTGCGGGGGGGGGGACCACATAATCATCTCAATTGCTGCAGAAAAAGGATTTGTCAAAATTTAATACCTTTTCATGATAAAAACACTCTACAAAGTAGGAATAAAAGGAAACACGTGAATGGTTAAACAAACCTTGGTTCATTTGTACCATGCAATATTACTCAGCAATAAAAAGAAATAACTTTTGATACAGGTGGAATGGATCCTAAAGGAATTATGCTGAGTAAAAAAGCCAATCTCTAGAGGCTGCGTACTGTATTATTCCATTTATATAGCGTTCTTGAAGTAACAAGACTCGGGACAGACAACAGATTCGTGGTTGCCAGGGGTTGGCGACGGGGACAGGGGAAATTAGAGGGATGGTATGGCTATAAAAGAGTAGCCCAAGGGAGGCATGTGGTAATGGCACAGTTCTGTATCTTAATTGTGGTGACCGTTACGGGAAGCTGGGCAGGTGATAAAATAGCTTTCTGGAGAAGTGGAGAAATCTGAATAAACTCTGTGGGTTGTACCAGTGTCGGTTTCCAGTTTTGTCACTGTACTACATATAGTCATGCAAGATGCCTTCATTGGGGAGGGTGGGTGAAGGGTGCATGAGACCTTTCTGTACATTTCTTTGAAACTCTGTGAATCTATACTTATTTCAAAATATTGTTTTGTTTTTTTTTAAGATCTCAGATTCTAAATCAGCATTCTCTTGTGAGAAGTTAATGTTCTAAGTTGGCGAGATGTGTAGACTGTAAGAGCTCTGCCAACTGCAGGAGCTGCGGTCAGTTCATGCTTCCTTGTGGTTTTACACACACATATGCCAATCCACACTAAGGACCTCACCGTGGGGCAGAGATAACTGAGTGGAAGTTCCTGTTATTAAAACGATTGAGTGGAAGGTGACATTATTAAAACAAGCACTCAGCTGAGGCCATCTCTGCAGGCCCATGAGGCCTGAAAGACACACACATTGTCTTAAAAAGAGACGGCTACATACAGTTATAAGAACCACGCGGCAGTCTTTACAGAAGAAACCAAGCACCTGCCTGAATCTCCCAGGAGACAGCTGTGATCCCAGCGTGTTCTAGTCCAGCCTGGTTACCTTCCCCTCTTGGAATCTCCCGTTCAGAGTCAGGGCCTCAGGAACAAAAATCAGGCTACTTTCTCTCCTAGAATTTGAGCCAGACATTCAAATGAGGTTTGGGAAGATTTAATGACATAAAATCTAAGTTTAAAAAGCATGATTCAAATCTGTATCCACAGCAAGATCCCAACTAAAAATATAGACATACTGGTGCAAGGGAAAATCAGAAGAAAAACAAACTGGAGATTAGTTCACCAAACGTTGATGGTTACCTCGGAGTTTGGGGCTCCAGGATGAATTTTTTTTCGATATAATGTTTTTTCCTGGATTTTCCTATTTTTTTAATGGATTTTTATAATGGGGGGGGGCTTCTCTGTATAGGGTGCAATCAAGCATGTTTTGTCAAGACCCCATACACCTGGTTAGAACACTTGTTTAAAGGATGGAAGCTCAGGCAGCGAAGCTGCACGGACGCAGGCCTCTGAGACCGCGGCCAACCGGCTCAGTAAAGAACCACTTCTGAATGTGTCGGTATTATTGCCAAGAAAATATTATGGGTTTAAAAGAAAAGAATTGGGAAAGAGTGCAGGGTTTCCCCCTCCTTTTTTAATTTGTGAAAACAATACACGCTCACAGTTTAAAAAAAAAAAAAAGTGAGAGTGTAGAAGGCTTCCCCTGCGTCCACGCGCACTCCCCAAAGGCGAACGGCGAAGTGACTTCTTGAGTCTCCTTCTGAAAACCAGGGCATGGGGTCTGCGCTTCGCAAATCCTCCTGCCAGGGCGCTGGTGGAGCCCAGCTTCCACGCGCGCGGCTCTGGCTCAGCTGACCTTGGGGGCCGGGGTGCGGTTCTGCACGACCTATAGACTCGCCCCAACACTTGGTTTTCCTGAGAACTTTGGGGACACTATCTAACTGAAAGGCGATATCTGAAATTGCGCAGTACGTGGGTAGCGTGGCCGAGCGGTCTAAGGCGCTGGATTAAGGCTCCAGTCTCTTCGGGGGCGTGGGTTCGAATCCCACCGCTGCCAACCTGTTGGCGCGCTCTGCGTTTTTTTCACCCCGTAAACCAGGGGGAATGGGACGCAGTTTGGCGGCGGCCCCGAGGTGTGTGGCCTCCTTTCGCCTGTGTCCTTGAGGGCAGGGGGGTGGTCTCAGGTCTTCACCGGTGCCCGTGGCTGAGGCGGAGAAACCAGCGGTGTAGACGCCGTTCTCTCCTCCCTGGAGTCAGCGCGTCTCTGTAACCTGGACTGGGACCGAGTTTGTCTCATGGAGTTCCAGATTTACCCCAACGTAATAAATTTCAAACTGTAAGAAACAAAGGAAGCCGCGCCGGTCTCCGCCAGGGACCCTTCCGCTCGCGAGGCGAACGCGCGCCCCGCTGCCCACCGATCGCGCGCGCGACGCGCGCTGCTGGCCGTCGAGGAAGCCGCCGCCCGCACGGACGCGCAGTGTCACAGCGGACGAGGACGGCCCTATCGGAGCAGAGCCCGCGGAGGCTCTGCGCCCGACATCTCACCCGTGACCCTTGGTTCCTGGCGGCTCACTCACTTTCCCACCTGCTTTTCTTCGCGATCCCCTGCCCTCCTGGGACTCTTGGTGGTGTCCACTGCCTGCCCAGGACCAAAACTGTCCATGAAACAAAACTTTGTTCCACGGTAAAGGAAGAAGACGGGCTCGTCCGGGATTTGAACCCGGGACCTCTCGCACCCAAAGCGAGAATCATACCCCTAGACCAACGAGCCAGCTGCTAAATCCCAGCCTCGTTTACTCCGTGATCTGATTCTATATGGCGTCGTTTCATCATCGAGAAAGTCATCCTGCTTTCTGGTATGCTGGGACCACAAGCCTCCCAGCTCGCCCTACCCATCTCCACGTCTGCGGTGAACTCTCAGCGTAAACGCTCCGCATCCCTTGGCCCCTCTGCGATCTGGCGTGCGAATGAGGGCCTCATTGCTGGGGCTACTGGGGCAGCAGGCAGGGGCATCCTTCCTCTTTGGGGACCGGGAACCCCCTCCCAAAGAAGTCCAAATAAGATGTAAGCCTGGAGATCCAGGGGCAGGGGGGGCAGAGTCCCGGAGAACCGGAGGGCTCCTGGAGACGCCGGACGCCGGGCTTGGAGGGGACGTGGGACGGACTGGGTCGTGAACCGCGACAGGCGAGACGAACCCCAGGGAATCCCTTCATGTGGGGCCTCTGGTGAGGGGTGGGGACTTTTCTTTATTGTTTTATGAAAATACTGAAAACAACATATACTTATTTGGAAATGTTCAGAAAATGTAGGGAAATGAAAGGCGGAAATGAGATGACCAGGAACCCCGCTCCCTCGAGAGTGACGGCCGCGGCGGCGGGTACGCAGCCCCCAGGTTGGCAGCAGTGCGCGCGCCCAGCCCGTGCCCGGCTCTCCGCCCGCGCCGCGCGCTCCCGGGCCTGCCCCGAGCGGCCCCGCAGCCGGCGCCCCGGAGGCCCGGGCTGTGCGAGCGCTCTCCTCCCGCCTCGTCTCGGACCTGCCGTCTCCCGAAGGGCTTTAGTTGCACTGGGTCATTTAAAAGTAAAACAGTGATTCTGATTCCTTGCTGTAAAATGCAGGAAGATCCACTCAGAGCTGGCCTGAAGGTTTGTTTTTGTGCCACCAGCAGAGAAATTCCCTACCCGGATGGCCGTTACAAAACAGCGTGAGAGACGGGTGGTGGTTAACCTAGTCCGAGGGAAAAGTGCTGATTGCCCACTGCCGGCCTCCGCTCGCTTGCTCAGCTCTCTGCGCCGACCGCTCCACTGGCGGCTCCTCCTCTCGGCTCTTCCTCGGAGACCACGGTGCCGGCGCGCCCGCCGCCCGCCAGCGTTGTCCGGGCTCGCTGCGCGCGCGCTGAGCTTTAGGTGGGCTCTCCTCTGCGCTCGGCGCCCGTGTGTCCTCGGCTCCCGTCACTATCGCTTCTCTATGGAATTATATAGAGAAAAATACAGACAGACGTCCACGTCTGTGACTCTGGCCTAAAGACTGTAACTTTGTCACATTCTCTTCCAGTCTTTTTTTTTAACAACCATTTAGTTTTTCTTTAAAAAAAAAATTATGCCGACCTTCTGACTTTGATTTATTTTGCTGCTAACGGAAGGCAAGTGGACCAAAGGAGCCTAAATGCTCACGAACAATGGAGGCGCTGCCCCGCGAGGGTCTCGGGGCGCCCTCCGGCCGCAGCCTTGGCAGGCACGACCGGCCCGGGTGGCTGCGGCCGCGGCAGAGGCTGCCGGTGCCCCCCGGACCCTGCCAGACCGCAGGAGCCCTCTCTCCAGCCTCTCCTCGGAGAAGCCCGAGCCCGTCGCCGCGCCAAGTGGGGACGCGCTGACTGCTGGCAGTGCTCCAGCCCCGCTCGGGGCTCGAAAATAGAGCGAGGGGAGACACGCGCTCTGGGCACCTGCGGAGGCGCCGGCGAAGGGGAGAACGGCGTGGGTGGGGAGCGCGGCGGAGGGGAACCGCTGCCCTCCCTCGCACAGGCCTGCTCCCGTCCAAAGAGCCAGGACTTCGTATCAAGACCGACCGGAGCGCGCTCGTCCCCGTCGGCCAGGAGCTCGTGGACCTCTGTGCCGGCCCTCCCGCAAGGCCAGATTGTGGCATCAACGGCGAGTACGCGGGGACTTAAACATAGCCCCGTCCCGCCTAAAACGGTAGATTCGCAGGGTGCTTGGGGGGAGGGGGTGCACAAGTAGTCCCCACGCAACGAAGAAGAAAGAACGAGAGGAGGGCGAACCCCTGGCCCAAGTCGGGAGACAGGAGGCGAACGGACAGAACCTCCACTAACTTGCCTAGAGAGCGCGCAGAAGTGAGCAAGGGATCACCGGAGAGAAGGCGCAGAGGGGCAGCCGGAGCCTGTGCCCGCAAGGCCGAGGACGCGGAGGGTCTGGCTCTTTGAGAAATAAGGCAACGGGGGGGAGGGGCCGTTGGGCGGCGGGCACCTGACGGGCACCTGACGGGCAAGGAACAGGAAGCTCTGCCAGGGTCTGGCCTCCCAGGATCGTGGAAATTCGTGTTGGCCTGCGCATCTTCCGCTTTTCCACCTTTCAGAAAACTGGAAAAAGTGGTAAAATGTGACACAGGCCCCAGCGAGATTTGAACTCGCGACCCCTGGTTTACAAGACCAGTGCTCTAACCCCTGAGCTATGGAGCCAGCCGCGAGCTTTTTTCCTGCGCTTCAGTAATTGATTCCGCCATTGTGACCGCGCAGCCGCAGACAACCGCGCGGAGAAGCTAAATGACAAGAGGTGAGCCGGCGTCTCTCGGCCCGTGAGAACCCCCGGACGGCACCAATAAGCGTCGGTGACATGGGCCGAGCCTGGAATTGCGGGAGTGAGTGCAGCGGAGAGCGCGCTGGAAGGCGCCGGGAGGGAGGGGGCGAGGGCGGGCGCGCCGCGGGCGGGGCGGGGCCTCGGGTGGGCGGGGGGCGAGGAGGGCCGGGGTCCGGGGGGGGGGGGGGGGGCGAGGACCTGGTGGGGAGGCCGATCTACGGCACATTGATGAATGGATGGGAGTTGAGCCTAGGGTTGGAGGGAGGAGTTAGGGAAGGGTGTCACGAGACCTGTCGGGAGGGGAATCTGGGTCTGGGCTGGTGAAGTCGGCAGGACAGCAAGGAAGCAGTGGGGGGTCAGGAGGGAGAGGCTGACAGAGAGAGAGCGGTGGGGAAATCAGGCGGTCGGCGTGTGAGGAGGTGCCGGGCGGAGAAGGATTGTGTCAGCGCTGGGGACCCCCAGCCCCTACCGCTCCTTTAGGCAAATTACGAAAAGGCAACCATTAGGATCCGACTTGCACTTTTAGGGACCTCCTTCAGTCAGGGCCCCCAAAAGGGCCTACCGAGTAGACGTCAGACACGGAGGGTGAGTGCCCAGGTGAGGGACAGGCGCCCTAGCCCGGTGATGATCAGAAAGTGGTGGCTGTAGATGATGACTTTGGCCTGGTGGCCCAGTTTGCCCTGTGATTCCTGCGAGGCCAGGGGACTTAGGTCGCTGGGTGGCAGGCCAGAAGCAGGCCATGGATGCCATCCAGCCTGGATGCTGAGGAGCCGTGTGCAGGGCTAGTGGAAGGATCCGCAGTTCACAAGGATCTGGGACTAATGGGTGGGGTCAGAAGGGCCCAAGTTAGGCCAGTCATTGCTCTCAGAGCCTTATGATGCCCAAAGAATGGGAGAGGAAAACGCACACACATGCATACTCTCACACCAACATTGTGACATCCAGAGTCACCACACTGCCCTGATGGCCAAGAGAACATCTTTTACCCTCCACGCATGGCTGTTACTGTAGCTGTTATTATATCTCTTCGGATATACAGATAGCTATGTAGTTACTCTGCAAACACACATTCTCTGATGGACACACAGCCACATTCACAAACACAACAGTTGAAAATATGCACACCGCCACCCCTGCAGTCCCCAGTGCTAGCCCTCCAGGCACCTCCACAAGACACCCTACCTTCTGTGACCTGTAATATGTGTTGCAGTACTTCACAGTTGCTAAATGATCTGAGGGGTAGCTGTGATACTCAATCCGAAGCCGCATGAGCCCAGATAACATCAGGGTTTAATGATAACACTAGGCAATTTACTTAGCAAATGGGTTTTCCTTGTGGGAATCAGTGGCATTCAAATACATGGATTGGCTATGATGTTCTAGAGCTACTCTCCATATGAACAGACAGGACTGACCCCTGGATTCTGTTGTAGGCTGGACTCTTAAATGGTCTGTCCCCAACCTGTTGGACACTGGATTCTGATTGCCTAGTGCTATGTGCATTGGGTCTGCCTCTAGAACAGTGTCCTGTCTGTCCTACAAGGACCTTGTATGAAAAGTGTATGCAAAGATGCTTCTCCAGGGACAGCATGGAAGCTCCATGACACTTGCAGACTACTGGACTGTCACTGTTCCTGCAAGCCAACACATCTATCTAAATCACCTGTGTAGGACAGAATTATGTCTGAGACTGGCTTTCATCTAGCCAGGTAGTAGGGGAGGAAACCAGTCTGTTTGCCACACCTAAACCCTATGCATGTGCTCATAAACACCCTCTCCAAGAAACCCTTGCCCATACCTGTGCTCTTGCATTCAGACTGGGGGAGTGGAGAATGAGCCAAACCACCCTAGAAATGAACTTAACAGTCTGTATTTCCATCTCCCCACCCCCTCCTCCCTGGGGAGCACTAAGCAAGAGACAGCCCGACCTCACCCCCCAGAAGCCCAGCCACACTGAAGGTGGGGAACAATTAGCCAAAGGGATCACACCCTCCAGGGCACAGGCTGAGCAGGCCTTGGCACCAGAGTCCTCTGCTCTTGGCATACATTTGGCGAGTTCCAGAAAGAGTCTGTGAGGGGCATGTTTGTGCTCTGTGCATTTCCATTCTGGTGGTAGCTGCATCTATAAAATTATAAGTGCTCTCTTGTGTTTCAAAATTCCAGAGCTTCTGGTCTCCTTACCCAAGGGAGACTGTACTTTGGCACCTGAGAGGGGTTCAGGCATCTGTGAGAATGCCTGTTGGCTGTCACTGTGGCTGAGGATGCACACCGCCCTCTGCATTGTCAGGTTAAGGAGTGTTGGAGGGCAACAACGCCTACATGCTGTTGTCCTGGACTTTTCCCTCAAGGGTCTCCTTCCAGTTCTGTCCCAGACTGTCCTCTGAGATGGGAGTGCAGTGCTCCTCCCTGAGTAGATGACTTCGTCAGGCCAGCTGGAGTCAGGTCTCTGAAGGCAGAGCTGGCAGCTGACAAGAAGGCAAAGCAGAAGTGAACCTGGCTGGCCGTTCCTGAACCTGCCCCCTTGCAAATGAGGACAGCACAGGACCTGGGGTAGTGTTGTGCAGAGGAGGCCCTGCTGAGTCTGGGCAGCAAGCCCCAGGGATAGGAAGCACCTGTCAGGAGCTGGGCTCCTGTCCTCATGTGCCTCCAGCTCCTCACAGCTCTAGCCAAATGCACATATCGCTGGACAACAGGCAGAGGACAGGCCCCAAGGGTCCAAGGCATCTCTTCTGCTCAGCTGATCCCTGAGCCCTCTTCCCTAGTTGCCCAATTTCAAGCTTCGGATATTGTGGTCTGCATAAGCCCCTCCTGGGGCAGGAGAGTGGAAGGCAGACCCAAAGTGACCAAGAGGCTCCCGTGGAGAGCAACATCCCTTCCCATGAGCAGCCAGGACATGGTGGAGTTCACCCTTGACTTACTCATGGCCTCTGGGAGGCCCGGCGAGGCCCCTCAAGGCCAGATTCGCAAATACGTGCCAGTGGAGCAGACAGAGAAAAGGGGGAACACGCGCTCGTGGAAGTTGACGCGGAAGGTGTAGAGGTGGCGCATGTCCTCCGCAGCGTAGAAGGACACGGCCCCCACCTCCAGGTCCAGGGCCACCCGCACGCGGGACAGGTGCCCACAGCTGAGGGGCGTGCGGTCGGGGCTGGTCACCGCCCAGTACTGCCCACCGTTGAGCTGCAAGGCCCAGACGCCCTCCTCGGGGGTGAAGGGGGTGAGGCCCTTGCGGCGCACGCTCTCGCGGGCCACGCCGAAGGCCCAGCCGTCCTTGGAGCCCACCTCCACCTCCCAGTGGTGCCGACCCGAGGAGAAGCCGCAGGACGCCAGGACTCGCGTGTTGGTGTCGAAGCGGCGCGGGTGGCTGGGCAGGTCTTGGGTCCGCTGTCCCAGGCGCACGCTCTTAAGATCCAGAGAGAGGATGAGGCGGGGGTTGGCCGTGTCGGGGTCCAGGGTCAGCTCCACTGCGGGCCGAGACAAGCGGAGATGTCCCAGGCAAGCGCCTTGCACAGCTTGCGCCCTGTACTTATGCCCCACCGCCCGCTCAACAAGTAGGTATGGAAATCAAACAAATTCAATGTGTGGACCTGATTTGGATCCCAATTCAAACAGATTGACAAATTCAATTTAAAAGACAATTGGGGAATTTCTAACACTAGAGGTTGGAAAGAATTGTTAATTTTTCTAGTTATGGTGATGCTTTTGTGGTTATCTTTTTTAAGAAGTCTACCTCTGTAGAGATAACATACGGAGATATTTATGGAAACAATACTTATTTGTGATTTGCTTCAAAATAATCCAGTGGGAAGAAGTGGGTAGGGTTGTTTATGAAAAATCTGAGTCACAAGTCAATAACTGCTGATGGTATATGATGAGAACATCGTATTTGTTATGCTCTTCTCTCTAGTGTATTTTTAAATTTTCTGTAATAAAACGTTAGAATATGCATGTGTCTTCTAAGTACGGCTGTGCTCTAGGCCTGCTCGAGGCCCTGGGAGTCACACAGTCCAGTGTCCCTGCCCTTCTGTAGCCTCCTTTCTGGGGGGTGGGGGAGGAGAGACAATAAATGATAAAGATGGAAGATAAGAGCGGCCAGGGAAACAGGCTGTAGTTCCAACTAGAGTATCGAGGGAATAACTCACTGAAAAGTTGCATTTGAGCAGACATAAAGGAGGTGAGGAAGCAAGATATGCGGCTGTCTGGGGAAGCTGGATTCCAGGCCAAGGCACAGACTGTGCAATGCCAAGGCCCTGAGGTAGGTGTGTGCTTGGTGCATTCCAGGAGCAGCAAGGAGGGTGTGTGGCTTCACAGAGTGAGCCAGGGAGAGAGTGTGCAGTGAGGCCAGATCCCATGGGGCCTGGCAGGCCACAGTGAGGACTTTACTGAGTGAGAGGGGCTGTCTTGTCTGAGCAGAGGAGAGGCATGGTCTGACTCAGGTAAACTCTGACTTAGTTGGGTTGGCATCAGCATCAAGAATATGTGCCCCACCTCCACTTCCTGGGGTTGGGGCCCACTCACCCCAGAGCTCTGCAGGAATAAGAGCCACCTCCCTCCCCATCTTCAGTCTCTCTCCTCTTGCTTCCCCTGACCCCTGCACACATCCCATGCCCAGGACAGGGCTCAGTCTGTTTGGGAGGAGGGACAGGGGAAAGAGGCTCATCCAGGTGACTGACCCACAGTTTATAGGCCTCCAGCCCCCCTGAGGCCTGCGGGAGCCAGAACTGGGAGATAAGGATGACAAGGAAATGAGAGCAGACAGAGAGTTGCTGAGGCAGGCAGGCAGAAGGAAGCAACCATGCACAAAGCCAGACAGTCACCGGCAGGGAGTAGATTCTCCAAGTGGCCAGATAATGGGTACTCATGATCACAACAACCATCGTACCTCTCTCCTCTTTCTCCAGCTCTCCCCGAAGATCCTCTGAGGAGGAAAACAAAGCAGGATGTTCATGAATGACACAGGAGATCATCTATCTGGCAATGACAGTGACACCACCTCCTCTGACATCTATAGCCCCACTGGCCCCTCACTCCCCAGACACTGAGATGATGTGCAGACCTGGGTCAAGCGTTGGGGCAGAGAGGGGGCAGTATTCCAGCTCTACCTCTCCCAGTTCCCCCTCTTTGCCTGGAGCTGGGCTGAGCTGAGCTCTCCCTCCTCATCCCTCTTTCTGTCCCCAACATCCCTCTACCCCTCCTGCTCCTGGGGGAAGTTTCATGCCCTGAGGGGGCCTGGAGAGATTTGCCCCCTCTCCACACCGGTCTGGCCTTGATGCACACCAGCTCCTGTCTTCTCACACAGTTTCTAGAAAGGCACATCCTTTCCAGACCCTCAAATACCAGAAACATACCCCCGCCACCTGCACCGCCTGGCCCAGCCCCCACACACCTTTGAACTTCTTGAGCAGGCCCTTTAAGACAAAGGTCTTCAGGGAAACATTCCAGACTTTATTCTTCATCTCAGACGAGACTGTGGTTGGCTTGGGGCCAGGCACGTTGCTACACCTGCAGAACAAGGGCCCTGAGGAAAGCCCACACTGTCCCACTCCCACCAGGCTGTGACAGATAGGATGGTGAGGTCCTTTTGGTGGAGAGAAGTGGAAAAAGGAGAGGGTGACCTCCTGCTGGAATACCCATGACAAAGCAGGCAGATGTTTGCCTCAGAAGGTACCCAGGTAAGGCAGCGGGGGGCTTGGGAGGTGAGAGTCGGGGTGGGGAATGGAGAGAGAGAGCTTGGTGGAAAAGGAGAAGAGCCAGCTTAGAGAGGCCCAGGGAACTGTTAGGTCTACTCACCTGCTTAGTGTGTTTTTGAATTCCTGGAAAGAAAGATGAAAGAAACCGAATCAGCATCAGGAAAGCTCCATTCACCTTTGAGAAAAAAAATCTGGCCCTTGCCCTGCTTCCAGAGGAATAAGCAATAGCAGGGGGACCACCCCCACCTCCCACATGGGTCCCAGGGGGCAGTGGCTTCCCGCTGTGGCTGGCCACTGGGTGTCTCATCAACGTGTTGGACCTCTCAACCCTGCAAATGCTCTCTTCATTACAGAATTGTCACTGGAGCCATACGCTGGGACCCACCAATGCCTCTGCTCTTGACACCACTCAAGACAAGTCACAGCCGTTATGCAACGACTGGTCACTCAGACGAGTGTCTTTTCAATGGCTGTTCTTGATCCATTTGTGACTTGTGAAGTTTATTTACTAGACTGTGACTATTTTAAAAGGAAATAAAATGGAATGGAAAACGTCAAAGTGCATCACATGTAGTAAAGGTAAGTGTTATTTTCTGAGACTTTTGTCTCAAGTGAGCATACAGTGGAACACAATGTAAGGTAGATTATAGTGGCTCATGGTCAAGTTTTAAAAATCACATCCCCTTTCGACCTCTAACCCCAGGAGAATCAGGGCACCTCTGTTCAGTCCCCTTTGCCCCAGATGGTGTGATTCTACTAAATTCACAGGATCTGACTGTGTTCGCACTGCCATTCACAGTGCCATAGGATAAATGACTCAAACACCTGGCTGAGCCAGACTCACTTGGAGAAAGTCAAGGTCAGGCCTGCGAGCTGTCTCCTGGATCTGGCTGCTGAGCTTGGAGAGCTGGGCGATCTCACCCCCGAGGAGGGCCAGGTTCTCATTCTGCTTCTGTGTCACCTCCCGGGACAGCTCCTCCAGGCGGCCCAGGAGATGGCCCTCCTGCTCCACCAAGAAGGCCCTCAGCGCCTGAAACTCTGCTCCCACCTTCTCTCGCTCAGCTGCCATCTGCTTCTGTCCCAGGAAAGGAGAAGTTGAAGAGGTGAAGGGATGTGGGCATTGAGATGTAGCATTTGGACAGGAGGCTCTGAGCTGTCCCATGGGGCAGGGTCCCATTCCCTTCACTGCTCAGGGGTCAGAGGGTCACCCACATGTGCCTGCCATGCATATGCTCTGATTTAAATATCCCGATTCTGAGCACAAAGCAGCCTCAACATGTGCTCTCGCCTCCCCTGTCACAGATGAGCCCGTGTGTCTCTGTGGACCTGGGCTCTCCCTCGAACCTAAAGCAACTTCCAACGCACCCCAGAACCAGCTGGGGCTGCATTTCCTCCACTGGAAAAGTGGGAGGGGTAAGTCAGCGCCTCCTGTGGCCACTGTAAGGATTAAACTGAGCTCACTTTTCTTCCTCAAACACATTTATTTCGCAGTAAAAACAAGACAACAGGCCCAAAATGGAGTCACTCATGCTAACCCCTACATCATCAACCCTTGAGAATTACAGTTTCGACTCCCGCAGAAATAGAATCTTAAACCAGCCAGTTAGGAATCGCCTGCTCAGCATTAGTGAGGTAATCTGCCAGATAAACCCTGCCATCGCCTACAGGGAAAGGAACCTTGCAACAGCCAATCCGCTTTTTTGCCCAGTATAACTTCCTTGTTCCTGCTCCCTTCTGCCTAGGAACTCTCTGGTCTTGTACAGCTCTTCCGGGCTCCTTTCTCTCTGCTAGCTGGGATGCTGCCTGGTTCATTAATGGAAAAAACCAGTAAGGTCTTTAAAATTTACTCAGTTGAATTTTGTTTTTTAACATTCCTCACCCCTCCAACTTTCACTCTTCACTTTACTTCTTTTTAAAGAGCACCTTTTCCGTTTAGCAATTATAAAGGTAACACATGCTCATAATACAAAATCTAGGAAATGTAGAAAAGTAGAAAGAAGAAAAGAAAATCAATGCCAGTGACCAGAGGTAACAGCACAACCTGGGTGAGAATATTCTGTGTGCAAGCTTCATATTCTATTCTTTCCATCACCACTATCCACAGAGCTTCACCCCTGTTTTCAGACACAGACTGGCGTTCCTGATCCTCTTCACATTACGTGAACACGCGGGAGGGCCTCCATGTGATATAAGGAGCGAAGCCTCTCAAGGCCAGTGACAAGTGAGAAGGATTGTGTCCCTCCAGGACAAGCTCGACTGTCAAAGTTCCTCTTCCCTGAAAACTCTAGGGGAGAAAGGGATGGCTGGAGGAGGAGACTGTGAGTGGGTCTTGAAGTAAGGAGACCTGGGTTCAGGCCACAGCTCCCTGGGACCTTCAGCACCGGATGTCAGGCAAGCAACTGCAGCAGCATGGGGCACTTCACAGGTGTTAACTCCATCAACGCTGACAACCCAATGACATGGGTACACTCTCATTCCATTTTACAAATGAGGAGACAGAGAGGCATGTCACCAGTAAGTGGGAGGACAGGTTCTAACCCAAGGAGTCTGACCCCAGAGTCTGAACTTCTTGCAGCTATATCATATGACCTCCCAAGGAAATAATACAAGTGGAACATGTGCCAAAATATTCTAAGTAAGGGTTTCCCAGCCTCGGCACTATTGACATTTGGGGCGAGGTGATTCTTTGTTGTGGGCTGTCCTGTGCTTGTAGGATGCGCCAGCAGCAATCTACCTGCCCCGTGTTAACAACCAAAAATATCTCCAGATATTGCCAAAGTCTGCTGGGGGCCAAAATGGCCCCCAGGTGAGAAGCACTCTTCTAACTGGTAAGAGCATTTCTAGATAAAGGGATTCATCTCCCTGTTGACATGTAGCAATAGCTGTCATCTGCCTCTGCTGTTTTATTAAGCAGGTGTTTTGTAATTACAAAGAGTATGTGGGCCAGGTCGGGGGTGGTGATGGGTGAGGACAGAGTGGAAGGTGCTAAGCAGTGTCATGGGGCATGCAGTCTGAGACCAGGAAGCTGCTCCTGCTGCAGAAGGCCCTCTGGGGCATGGATGTACAGCAGCTGAAGAGCCGCAGGCTGACTCCTCTCTCTAGCAGAGAAGGATGGAGTCCCGAGGAGCCAGGGGTGAGCTCCCCCTTGTGGAGGGAAGTGAACGATCCAATGGGAAGGCCTGACATGCGCATCGGATGCAGGTGTGCCAGGTGCAGTTAAGGGTCTCGTTTGCCCACCTTAACCAAAAGGAGCCCCATTTCACTTTCCTGTCACTGTGAGAAAGACACAGTACCATTCCAACCGGCCAGCAGGCTCCAGGCATACTCCGCTGTGCAGCATGGGCTGCTGGAAACCAAGTTCTCAGTACCTCCTTGCCCTCTAGCAGGTGGGCAGCAGCTCTGACACCTCTTGAGCCCCTTCTCCCTTAGCCCCAATTTCAAAATCTAAAAAAGTCTAAAAATGAAAAAAAAGTTTTTTCATAACCCTTTGGTGGATAAACATGCCCTGTACTGACACGAGGCTATTTACTGTATTTATGCTGCCACTCAGTAGGAATATTCAAATGTTTCTCTGAAGAAACATTAATACATTCAATTAAGAGATGTTCCATAGGCTCTAATTGGGGTGTTATGTAACATTAGGGTGACTATACATCTAGATTCATTAGGACATTTCCCGTTTAAGCCAGCTGTTCCAGAATGGTTATTTTAGCACTCCCTTTCACTCTCAAAGCTCTGGTTATATAATAAAATACAATGTGCATCCTATTATCTTTCTCAAATCCACCTCTGCTGTCCCACAGGCACACACTCCAACAGCACACTCACAGAGCCAGGGGTGGGTGGCCCTCTGTGGTCACCCAGAGGGTCCACCTGGGGGTTGCTCAGCTCACCAGGAGCTCCTTGCTCTCCTTCTCTTCATTGGAACTAAAGGCCTCATAGTCCTCCAGATCCTTCTTCAAGACCTTCAGCCTGGACTCCAGCAGCTCCTGCAGGAGGATAAGAAGCGAGGCATTGCCAGGAGAGGGCTCTGGAAACCCTCACATGTGCCTTCCGGGAGCCGTCCAGAAGAAAGGGAAGGCCCTGCTCATCGGAGCAGGTTGAGGAAGAGGTTGAGTTCAAGCCATCTCTGGACGTCGGGATGGATACAGCCGGCGCAGACTGCACAGAGGGGTACAGGGAAACTGCAGTGTGACTCCAAAGTCCTCAGGGTCTCACTTCCCCCAGACCGTCTGTGCACAATCCAAGATGAAACGCAAGCCCCCAGCAGCCCAACCTGCCTTCTCCTCTCCTCTGCTCTCCTCCTGGTCATCAGAAAGCCCTCTGGGTGGAGGGGTGGAGCCGAGTAAGGAGGAAAGAACGACCAGGGGCTGTGTCCCCGAGGCCTCCGCGCACACCCCAGGAGGCAGGAAAGGGGGCGCCCAGAACCCACAGCTTTGACACAACCCAGATGGCTGTGGGCTCTCCACTCGACCCAGGAGCCACCCCCTTACCCCGACCTTTTGCGAAGGTCGTCCCACTCAACCCCCCAAGGTGGGAACGTCAAGAAAGCCACGCCCAGGGAAAGGGCTGAGAGTGGGGGCAGTGGACGTGTGGGCGTGACCGAGACGCAGCTAGAGACCAGGGACTGACAGACTGAAAATCGCCTTGTCTGTGGGGCATCGCACAGCTGGACCAGCGGGGGCCCAGAGGGAAACCGGAAGTGGGTGGGAGAGGATAGTGCTTTTGGTGTAGGGGTGACAGAGGGAGAGCCCCGCTCAGCCTTGGCGTCAGTGCTGGGCAGCCTGGGATAGAAGAAAAGAGGCAGGGGCTCACCTGGGCCTCCTGCCTGCCCGCCTGCCTGTCGTCTGCACTGCGTGTGCGGAAAGGCAGGACGGACGGGGGCTTCCGGGGACCAGCAGGGTGGGGCCGGCGCTCACCTTGGCTTCCTGCACCGCCTCGTCGAGCGGCAACACGGCGTGCGCGCGGTGCTCGCGGGCGCGGTCGCAGACCACGCAGATGGCGCGTCCGTCGTCCTGGCAGTAGAGCTTGAGCGGCTCGCCGTGCTGCGCGCACCCAGCAGCCGCCGCCTCCTGGGGCCTGCGCTCCCCGGCCGCCGCCGCGGGCAGGCTGAAGCGCCGCAGCAGCGCGGCGACGGCGGCCAGCTGCCGGTTGGGCCGCAGCTGCCCGGGGCGTGCAGGCTCCCGGCACTGCGGGCAAGGCAGCGGGCCGGGCAGCGCGCGGGGTGCGGCGGTGGCCCCCGCGCCGGGGCGCTCCCAGCAGCGCGCGATGCAGGCGCGGCAGAAGCTGTGACCGCACTCGACAGACACGGGCTCGCGGAAGAGCTCCAGGCAGATGGAGCACGTCGCCTCGCCCTGCAGCTCTGCCGCCAGCGCCAGCGCTTCGGCCCCGGCGCCCGGCCCGGTCCGCGGCCCCACCGCCGCCATGTGCGCCCTCAGCGCACCCAAGTCGGGCGGCGCCGGGGAGGCTCCGGGACCCGACAGTGGGCGGCTCGGGGCGCCGGCAGAGAGAGGAAGGGCGGGGCCGACGCCGCGCGGCGGGCCCGGAGCTAAGCGCGCGGCGGCCGGAGGAGGCGAGGCCCGGGCGCGCGCGATGGCGGGCCGGGCGGCCCAGCGCGAGGGGATCGCAGTGCGGGCCAGCGCCCTGCGCCCCCGCTCTGGGCCCCTCAGTCCCCTGCCTTGGCCTTCTCGGTCCCGCGGGCCTTCTCTCCGTCGTCTCCCTCGCCCGGCCCCGCCGCGAGCCTCTCTAGGCCACCCCAGCCCGACCCGCCACTCCCTGTCGCCGCCGAGGCCGACCAGCACGCCTGCGGCAAGAGCCCGGCGCCCGGGCCGCAGTGTCAGGTTCCCGGCGTGCAGGTTTGTCCTGGCGCCGTGCTGCGCTAAATTTAGCGTCTGGAACGCGGCTCTTGCCGGCCCCCGCCCCCACCCCCCCAAGAGTGGCCTTGTATCCACTTCTGTAGCTACCTTTCCCGCGATTGTCCTCCCTCGTTTATTCTTTAACTTCTGTTTTTTACACTAAAATTTCCCGCTTTACCCGGTGTTATTCCCCTCGGCCCCCCCAAAATCCAACCTTGTATTGTCCCTCCATTTCCTCGCCACAGCCCCACTCCAGAGCTGCCAGTGTTGTTTGCTTCCACCCTCTCTCTCTTCATTCCCTCTGGAGGCCACTTCGGTCAGGCTCTTGCCCCCACCCTCCTCAGGAACCGCTCTTGTGAAGGTCACCAGTGACAGCTATCCTAACCCAAACGCAAAGGCCCCTTCTGAGGCCTTACTTCCCCTGCCCTCTCTTCTGGTGCTTCTTCCTTCCTAACACCCCTTCTCAGGGCTTTCCCGGCTCGCCTCCCACCTCCGTGGGCTCCGTTGTAGTTTCCTCCTCCTCTCCCTACCCCTGCTCAGCCTTTGGACCTCTGCCTATACTCACTCTCTTGTGGTCTCTTCCACTTGGTTGAAAAGACCGTCTCCCTGCTGACGCCACAATACATATCCCCAGCCTAGAACCCCTAGGATGCTTTGCTCCCACATCCGAATCCTGCGCAGCATCTCCACCTGCGTTTTTTAAGGGCGTCACCCGCTTACTGTGTCCACAAGTGTACTTCTGATCTGCCTCTCCATCAGCTACTCCCACAGCCTTCCCCACGGCCTCCTCATTTAACAGTAACTCCATCCCTGGGGTACTCAGGCCAAAACCAGGGAGTCCTCTGTGACTCCAAAAGGAAAAACTTGCTCACACTCCACACCACCTGTCCTCAGCATCTCCTTACTCTCTAGCCTCCTTCACTGTGGCATCTCCAATGTTCCCAACAGTCCTCTCCCCTTCTGCCCTGTTTCCCTGCCCTATGTTCTCCACCAAGAACAATCCTTTTAAAATGTTGTCAGATCATGGCCCTCCTCTGCTCAAGACCCTCCAGTAGCTCCCACCCCTCTCGGAGTAAAAAAGTCTTTGCAAGGGTCTAAAGGCCTTACCTACCCCATTCTTGCTCCCCATTCCCTGCACCCTGGCTCTCTACCCACATCTCCTATCACTCTCCCCTGTTGACTCCTCTCCCGCCACGTGGACCTTCTTGCTATTCCTGCAACATGGCTGAGAGATCCTACCTCCAGGCCTTTGAACTGGCTGTTTCCTTTATTCGGACCTCTGTTTTCCCAGATACCTGCATGGCTAACCTCCCACCTCCTTGACGTCTTATTTCAAATGTGGCCTTTCTCAGTGAAGCCTGCCCCGACTACACTGTTTAAAATCACACCTTACCACACTTTGTCCCTCAACGATGGCTCCATTTCCTTTCTAGCACTCTAACTCCTCTGGGATGCAAGCTTTTAGCAGGGATGGACTGTCAGTTTTGTTCACTGCCGGACTCCCAGCTTTCTAGAGCAGTTCTTGGTACATACTAGGCGATCGGTCAACTTTTCTTGGATTAAGTTCATTTAAACCTGGTTCAAAATTCAGATATAGAGTAGTTCACAGTGAAAAGTCTACCTATCGCCTACTCCCCAGTCCCTTCCTAATCCCAAGCAATCAACTTTGCAATTCTGAATTATTTTATACAAATATTATGTATTTTACTACAATCTTCCCTCTTTTTAACAAACCTAGCATCTTGCATACAATTCATTTTGGGGATCGTGCCCAATGACTTCCCCTTCTTTTTCCACTGCTGCCTGCAAGTGTTTCTCCTGTTTCTCCCTTGGTCGAGGTCCCCTCTCATGGAATCAGTAGAGGACCCTGGAATAGCTCGGGACGCTGCCCATCAGGCTTTACAGCCTCTGGGTTGTCGCGCCCGATAGATGCCAGCCGCCTACCAATGCCCGGTCCCAGAAATTGGATAAGGAAGTATATGAGAGCTGATGAGGCCGCGGGGGATGTAGCTCAGTGGTA